ACTTTTGATATGAGTAAGAGCTGCGTCAGTATCCTCACGCAAAAATTCGAAACAGGTAAACACGATGCTCGCAATTATCAGGACAGGCAGGCTGCCACTTGCATCCGTCGACGGCCTCTTTACAGCCAAATGAATGGCCTGGTTATAGAGTCCCAAGGCATTTGACATTGCCTCGTCATGATTGGCAGTTCGGAGGCCTTCGTGCAAAGCACCAACAGCTGCAATAGCATGGCGTATAAGCGGTTCAGTCAGACTGAACTGAAGAACTGACCCTTTCCAAAACGATCGATTAAAATAGTTGATAAGATGGGGAGAAGTATTGTGATAAAAAAATTCAAGAGCTCTTTGTTCTGCTGAGGATGTCGTCGAAGTCGTTGGGGAAGGCTCGATGAGAACATTGAGAGGCCTCAATTGAAGGATATATCCGTCACAGTTGCGGCCAGTTCTCGTACATCTTTGTTTTATCATTAGTTGATCAGGTCTAAAGGAGTTTTAGGCTTACGACAGCGCTTGCGCCTACCTTAAACACTTCGGCTTTGTCTCGTCGCACTTCACTCTCCGAATCCTAGCGAGTCAGCTAAAGTTATACCTGCGACAATAGCAACACGTACTTGCAAGTTATACAACCAGTTCGCACCTTCGGCTTGCTAGCTCGCGTGCGTTTTGGTATGCTATCCATTTCATAAAGTGCTCTTGAGCCTGAAAAGCGGTCAAGGACTGGATTCTGAGAGTTGATCATTGAAGATGTCGTCCGTGAAACCTCTCACTGGTTCAGGCAGTTTAGTGGGGCTTTAAGCCGGTAAATTTTCGGGCAGATTTGATGACAGAATGCTGGCGCTAGTCATTTTCCCGGCGGCTTAGCACCCACGACAGTAAAGTTCTTCAGGGTCAATGACTGTGTTAAAGCAGGTCGTCGGCATTAATAGTCATCATTAGTCTGACAAATCATTCTGACATGCATCAAGTCTGACTGCAGTAAGAGCATCACGATCTGCTTTGATCTCACAATCGAATCGACTTTGCGAGAGTACACTTGGAGGCTTATTCATAACGCAAAAGTTTGAGTGGAGTTTTCTCATTCTAAAATTACATGAAACGTTACGTTCTCCGTAGAGTGCCAGTGAAGTGCCTTTCCATTCTGTTATTTCTTACTTACTCTTTTGTGCCTTGACGGACCTCCACTCAATACCCAATGCTCCCAGGAATGATAACGTAGATAGAGCAACGGCTGAGTACCAAGTGCGAGTGAGAGCCTTATTGTAAGCCACAAGAACAAGACCAATATATTCTTCTGGAACGTTGTCTTGAATTTGAGTTGCACCAAGCTTGAGAATAAGCCTAGGATCGAAGTTCGGAACGCTGGCCAAATTTTTAAGCAATTGGTTCGTAAAGATGTTCTGGGCGACCGAAACGAAAATGGCGCCACCCAGCTGCACTGCGAACATAAATATCGCTGTACCAATGGCAATGTCATCTTTCGGTAAGGATGCTTGAATAGCGATGACAGGTGTTTGCTATGAGTTTGAAGATCTGTGACGGACCGTAGAGCGCGTACGAGCATGTAATTAGGTAATAGAAAGTTCATTAAACTATATAGAATATACAAAGGAGAATTAGGATGCTCTCACACTATATATATAC